TGAACAGACGCCCGGCAACATGGAATCTACTTGTTTGATATAATAAAGAAAAAAAATTGTTAATGACGTCATCTATGCATCTGTCTTCCAATTGATCACAAGTTAGAACCAATCAAAATGCGAGAATAATTCGACATAATTATATAAAATAATAGAGAGTATAGAGACGGCGTAGAAGGCGACTGTGAAAGCGATAATGAAGATGTAAGAGTACATGTTACCTGAGTCATCTCCTTGTCTTTTTGAGACTTTCGCTTTACTTTCCTGGCATATTTCATTGTACGAGCCCTTGATTGTTCCCAAGCTTTGCAGCAGCTGAAAGTTGTAACAGGACAAGTAAAACAGAATTAAAACATCACTCACACAAGAGAATATAATACTTGTGTGCCCGTTGCAACCATAGTCACATAAGACACTTTGCATTTTCCACCAATTTTGCGGCTTACCCTATCTTCGAGCAAACTGTAACTATGATGTAATAATCCTAAAGTCATTTTGACAAGCCCTACAAAATTTCATCTCTTACAGTACTTTGCTAAGAAACTTCGCTTGCCTGAATCCACCAACCAGACTGCAAACACCACTGGCCCCAGGCTATCGGGCACGACTTTCCTTGCACGCTGCACTAGTTCACAAACAAACAAACAGAGTAGCCCTTTAGCAAGAGCAACCTTCCCAGTGAGCTGGTAAATGCACCACCGCCACCACTGCTGCTGTGGCTGCCTCGACCACCACAACCACCATCATCACCATTACCATCACCATCAACAGCTACAACAACGGACTCACTGAATCCCTCATGGAGGGCTATTGCTGTTGCTTATTTGATGAAGTAGGTTGGTATTTAGGGCAACCTTGTCAGGAGTTTTAAAATGCAAAATACGTTAATGCATAGTTGGCGAATGAGCCACTGAGGGTGATCACTTCCATAGGGTTATTGCTATGTTTAATCCCTGCATTAAAGACACAACTGCCATTTCCACGTAATCATCTGAGTAAAGGCATGAATGGTACCAAAACAGGCCTCCGGATTCGTTCTCACCTCTGTATATCTCAGTAAAAGTGAATGAACTCTACTGAATGCTGGGCCAACCTCTGTAATCAAAAGGAAATTGTAAGTAAACTAAAAGTTAAATTAAGTTTTTCATGCTTATGGTAGCCCAGAAGCCAGAGTCTACGAAATAAAAATCAAGCCACCAGACATCAAGGGCTAAGTCTTTGAGCCCCACATTACAACCGCGCTTAACATGGACAGTATTTTTAACCTACAACACATACCAACACGTGTAATCTTTCAATTCATCCCAAGAAAATATTACGTGAGCAACTTTTTGCAGTTCTAGCAACCTCGAGCCTTTCTGAGCAACTTCTGATCAAAATGTAGGTTTAGAGCACATGTCAAGCACGAAAAAGCCAACGATTTCCCAGAAAACTTCAATTTATGCGAATTTCTTGAATGTTTATCAACCTTTGAAGTTTGAAGTTCTTTCGTATCGTTCGGCAAGACATAAAATAAACCATGTGTTCTGGTCTATTAGACTTTTTTCCTTGACCGATGTTAGCAATCATTGTGTGGAACGAAAAATTTAGCTTTTAATTAACGTTTATATAAAAATATCAAGAAATTTAGGTAGCATTTTTTTTGGATTATTGACAATTTTTTGGCAACTTTTAGGCATTCAAGTGAGAAGCTATCCAACATTTTATGAGCAACTTTCAAGATTACCCCATTGTACCTGACAGTAAAGGTGCTGGTCTTTTACACCAAGGCTTCATCTCGGTCTCAAAGCAGTGAAGAAATCCAGACACAACCTGAGCCATGGTGGTGAGTGATAGAGACAGTGTTTTGCTCACTTTCTCAACTGTTATAGCGTCAGCATCACATAGAGGAGCCTGTGGTCAAAGAAACATACGAAAGAGCTTAGCAAATTTCAAACTAGGAAAAGAGCGACTATAATGGGCAATTAAAAACACTGATTTATCATGAGCAGAAAGGTTATCTGATTCAAGTGTAAGATTTATACAGTCGAACCTCCACTAAAGGCCACCTCTCAACAGCGGTTACTTTTTTGGTCCCGACGGACGGTCCATACATTCACTCGTATTTTAACTTCTCTACAACGGCCACCTCTCCACAACGGCAACGGCTACTAAAACTCGTCCCAACCGGCCAAAATAACCTCTCGACAACGGCCAGTTAATCAACGACTGACGAACGGTGTATACAAAATCCCATTTTTGTATTGTAAAAGGTCACAGACTTGATCCGTACCGGGCGTCGTTAGTATCTGTTTCTGTTTAGTTTCTACTGTATTGATACATTTTGATGAACATATGCTAGAATAAGCTTTTTTTGACAAAAAATGTAGCACCCCGAAAAAAAAACAGGGGTTATATTACACCCCTCCCTCCCCATAACGGCCACTTTTTCCTCTGTCCCCAAGGTGGCCGTGGCGAAGAGGTTCGACTGTAATAAAATGAACTGTTTGTCATACATTTTCTCTTAGCTCGTCCAGCTGTTTGCTCTGTTCTTCCAATTCATTCGCCAACTTTTCTGTGACGGACATCAACTGTTTCTCATCAGGTATTCTGTTGATTGGCAGATATTTTAACACTAAATAATCATATGAGGACCTGCATAATTTTGAAAAACACTCTGTTCAGCCACGTTTACACAATATTTTTAAATTGAAGTAGAGTCGTGCTTGCCATTGCTTTAAAAACTGTGTTTGTTCAAGCAATGCTTTACGAACTTGGGACATGACGTTATTTTTGCGGGTTCCTACAGTAGATAATTTTTCAGTTGTTGAATTTTTTGTGGGTAAGAAAAGTTACAATCGTGAAAAAGAGGCAGGGAAATGTGTTGGTGAAAAACAAAGTTAGCTGTTGTACCAAGTTGGGTATTTCAAGTGTTCTACCAGAGCCAAACAGAAAGATACAGTTCGAGACTACGCGAGGTGCACATCTTGTAGTAATAAGCATGCAGCCTTGTGACGGCTTTTTTTTATGCTGATGGCCGTTCTTTAGAACCTAGCAGGAATAAAAGTCGTTTCAGAACGGTTGGAAGGTTTCAATTACCTGGTGTAACTTCATCTGTTGACATTTACACAATGATTGGGTTAAATGAATAACTACTGTGTTTAGATGTAACATGNTGTGTCTGGCTGAGTTATTAAGATGGGTTATGATGATCCGTGTAGCAGACATAAATAGTGTGTCTGTAATTTTTTGAGCAAAGTTTTTCACTTCAGAATTCGGTTTATTCTAGTGTTTCAGTGCTTCAATGTTTGTATGCGTTAGTTAGGTTTTACAAAATATGGACATGAGGGGTTAGTAAGCAGGTGTTAAGCAGACCTAAACTGTAATTGCACATCTGGTTGTCTCTTTACCAAAATTTCCCTCAATTTGAAGAGCATGGTCAAGAGCACATGTTTCTGCATTAGTATGCTGGCATTCCACCTTCAACTGCAGATGTCAGAATAATATATTTTTTTAACTGAATAAGCAAATTCATGGATTGTTTTTTTTTCCTTTCAAATATTTCTAATTGTGTAGTTTCAGAAAATATCGATACCCCTCATGGAAGGGATTTTTCATATGACCACCCTCCCCTTCAGAAATTCCAATTTTTTTCGCACACCATGGAAATATTTTTATTTCCAGTAAAAGTAAGAAATAAGTGAATTAATAATTTATATCTGAGATAAAATAAAGTTTTATGTATGTCTTTCTGTATGTATAGTTCCAGAGTCTGAATTTTGATGCTTACTAGTGTTTTCTGGTAAATATTTTGAACAAGAGAAGGCTTTCCCAGTAATTGCTTTGTGATTAGTGCAGTAGAATTAAACAGTCCCATCATTGCACACTTATCCTACTCTAACTTACTTTTTATGTTCCAGTCCTGATGTAGTTTTTACCAAGTCAGGAGGGTAGAGCTGAACTTTTGACCTAAAAATATCCTGAAGGTCATTTTGGCGACACAGTGCATCAAAGAAGTAACAGTCATTCTTGAATTGGTCGTCCAAAGAGAAATGAGCTGCAGACTGTAAACTTTTGAAACAACAGCAAAAAATAATATTAAAAAATGATTGTAGCTGACAACAAACTGAATACAAAACATACAAAAAATAGGATGGGGGTACTGATTTAATTAGATCTAGCTTCATGAGTCTTGTAGATGAAGTGCATTTTCAATTTGCTTTTAAAACGATTTGTGTGAGTATTATTAATCAGTTACAACACTCTGAAGGGCAGGTGTCGTGGCCTCGTGGTTGCTGCCTTTGACTCCGGATCAAGTGGTCCAAGTTTAAGCCCTGGCTGGGGACATTGTGTTGTGTTCTTGGGCACAACACTTTACTCTCACAGTGCCTCTCTTTCCCCAGGTGTACAAATGGGTACCGGTGAATTTAATGCTGGAGGTAACACTGTGATGGACTAGCATTACATCAAGGGAGGAGTAGTAATAATCCCAGTCACTTCATGCTACAGAATTGAGAAAGCAGGATAAGGTCCGGCCTAATGAGCCACATGGCTTGTATGCGAACTTCACCTTTTTTACATTACAATCGCAACACTTTGATTCAAGAGAGACTGGGAACTAGTTACATGTAAGTTATCTGATGTCTCAGATCAAGATTTGAGTCCAGTTCCCTTAAAATTTCATCATGAGTGTGTTTCCAACCTTTCAAATTAATCAGTTCATTGCGATATGTAAACTAGTTGACTGTAAGCTCCAAATGTTCATAATTTTCCTTAGGGTTGCCACTCATTAGAACCCAAAAATTCCCTGACTTTTCACTGACCTCAAAACATTTTTCATTGACCTTGCATTAGGTGAATTATCAAATAAGCGGAATCCACATTTTCAAGTAGCTTCAACTTCTTTTGCAGACCACTGATAGTCTTCTCTTCATTTTCGACCTCTAACTTACGATTTTGATGGGATTTTGAACGCACATGTATGGCATTTTACATGTACTTGACCAACAAATCCATTTTTGTTTTTTGTTTTGGCCTCTGTAGCACGTGCATCTGCTTTAAATTCCCTGACTGTTTGCTGACTTTGACAAGAACTAAGATTTTCCTTGACTTTTAGCAACATTCCCAGACTTTTCCCTGACCTTGAAAAACTTATTTGTTTTTCCCTGACTTTTCCCTGACTGACTGGCAACCCTGTTCCTTTACTGATGACCCTACTGTCCCAGTTCCAGGTATCTGTTTGGAAATCAACCCTTCATAACTGAAACTGCTGCCACAATATAATGTTAAGCCCTATCTCCTAATCCCTGTATTGAAAAATTTACTTTACCACACTATGTCACTTCTAAGTAGGACACAAACCTTGCTGTTCTTATTGGGGTTGTAAAGTGATGAATCTGACCTGACGACTCTACTGCACTGACAAGATCTATCAGGTTTTCCCAAAATGCTGCTTGTTTGTTTCTAGACTTGGTACCCTACAAAGAACACCACAATGAAATAGCATCATAGGCCTGTATGTAATGTGGAGCATAATAACAGGAACATTAGTCCTTGATATAAGTTAGTATTACTGTACAAGCAAAATATAAAATCATGTGATAATTTAAATTGACCAAAAACGGCAGTATTAAATTGCATAATTTTTTTTAATATTATATAGCTGGTAAATTTCACATTACCAAAACTGCCCAACATGTTTAAGGCACAAAATGGCACCATGGTTAGCCTAAATAGCACTGAATCAACAGTGGTTAGCTCTCAATATCAGTAAGGGTACAACCGTATCCCTCATCGACTATTAAGTCATCGTGCTATTTTGTCATTTCGCCATAAGAAGTGTTTTAAACTTGCCCCCAAAACTGCATACATTATCGTTTTTATTACATTATCAAAGCTTCTTGTTATAAATTTACACCCTTGAAATTTACCTGAACAAGGTCAATATCATCACTTTTACAAAGTCCCAACAAATGACATGAAAACAGCAACTCTGAAATATTATACAAAGTAAAACTTGTTACAAACTTTGAATTTTACAGTTTCCCCAAAATAATGGCTTTGGAAATTGAACCAAACATGTGACTAACTACATACACAGGCTTGCAGGTACAGTATACATACAAGGATGAAGTGTGGCTCTCTGGCTGAGTGGTTAGGGTACCAAACTTGAAATCCTGAGATTGCAGGTTCAAGTCCCATTCTGACCACAAGCTGGTGTTGTTCTCGATAGCCCCACGTTCAACTCCTCGTTCATGTTTGTAAATAGCCAACTGGTCTGCCTCCTGCCAGTTGGGATTTTCAACCATGTTATGTTAATTAAGGATTTACATCGTTTGTTTCATCATTTCGTTTTGTTTCCATTGGCCCTGAAAAATCCCATTGGGGGGAGTGGTCAATAAAGATATTTAAATGTTTTGTACTCACTTTGAAGTCTAGAGTCATTTCTCCCTAAAGCCTTACTCTGTTGGTTCTCCAGCATATTGTACATAACTGGATCAAACCTGAAAATACATGTAATAATTATCAATAGTACATTGTATGGACTTAAACTGTATACACAAGATTATGGGTACTACCGAAGGTTGAGAAAAGGCCACTAGACGTTTCGCCTAGATATAAGTCTTATATATGCCTTACTTTGCTAGCATCCACTGCAGAAGTCTTAACCTTGGTTCTCCTGGTTTGAACAGCAGCTCTTCCATCCATGAATCTTCGACACCACCGAGATATGGGCAATCAAGCTCCTGAAGGGACATGGCAGATCACAGAGTTCAAATTTAACATGAAAAAAGAGACCAAAGTCCTAATGTTACAAAGCTACAAGCTGCCAACGTTACATGGATCTATGTACCTCTAATCTCGATTTAAAGTGAAATAGTCTGTCCTTCCCCGAAGCCGCCATTTTTCAAAATCCCAACTCTAAACGCATCATGGGACTTACTCCTCGAGCCTCGGTCACATGATATCGGTAATCCAAGATGGTGGACTTCCTTGCAGATAACAACGCTTGCGGACAGACCGTTTTAAAGCTCGTTAGCCGAGGAAATGCCATCGTTGCCGAGCTATTGCGGCTCTCCGACTTTATACCTCCGGTTTTCAAGCAAGAAACGAAAGAAGACCGTGATAAATATGGCGAGATCTTGGCAGACTTCTCCTATTTCAAGGGACCTGACTACTACGAGAACCGGATTGATTCCAAGGCGGTGAGTTGTTATTTTCGTTTTTGCATGTGCTGCACGTAGTTGTAAATTGAATCACATAAGCTTAGGGAATGAGAGCTAGCATAGGTGTATCTGGTATGAGATGTTTTGTGCCTTCTGGCAACCATGACGGTTTTTGATCGCGGAAATATACGAGGTAGCTGAAATCTACAGATAAATTTTTGTTTTTTTTTTTCCAAAGGGGTGAACATGTAATACTAGAATGGTTCAGAGAGGTACAATTGACGGTGGAACGCCTAATGAACGTTTTGTCTCATTAAGTCTGATCCTTCATGAATAGGAAACTGAAAACTCATAACTATAGAGAACCTGTCAGTAAAAAATAGTGACAGGTTGATCTGATCAGGAAGACCCCACCCCCAACCCCCTTCTTATCCTCGGCATCTCTTCATTTATTTAGCAAGACTTTCCTGGTGTTTTTAAAGTGAGTGATAGAGTCAGTGCATCAGCATCGACAGTCAAAGGTTTTCTTGGGGGTAAGAAAAACATTCCATCAAGTATCCATGCCTATCCCAGGGAGGGTTATTGGAAATTCCAATGGGAAGGGGAGTCTCAATCCAAAATTATCAAATGAAAGAATGAACAAAACTGGAATATATTCCTAGAGGTATGGTGGGGGCTAAATCAAGAAAATTCTCTGTGGAAGAGGTACATGTATTGCTATTTTCTAGAACAACACATCGGCCTGTTTACTATGTTTGAAGGGAAATGGCTTTTTGTAGGCCTTGCTTTCACGTTGGCACCTGGTTCAGGTTGAGGAATAAGTGGTTGCTAGTAGTAATTTTGTCACAAATGCTGAGTCTTCAGCAAATTAAAGTCAAACCAATGGCCATCTGCATATACACTGGTTAACAAAATAATGATAAATAATAATAAATATGAGTGACTTTGTCAATGAGGGATATATAGCATTTGTTGAATTATAGAGGGGAATGGTTATGAAACTCAACAAAATTCTTTGTTGTATGTTTTTGTTCACTTTTTTGACCTTGACGGTGCACAAAACACAATAGTTGTTTACTCTGTACTGAGGAACTAACCAATCAAAACGTGTTGGTTACGTAATTCATGCATAGTGTATGAGCGCAAAACAAAAGATTGTGCACTGTCGTGGACCTTCCAACATAAATCTTCGCGTCTTTGTTTGCTCCTTTGATGTTTGTCAGGCGTAACTCTGATTGTGCACAATAGACTGTATGCAGTCCAATGTTTTTGCGAATGCTGACATCAGCCTTACTAATCCTATCCCTGTTATTGTCTTTAAATGATAAGCCACCACTGAATGTGTTTCTCTATGTAAAATAATATACTTGCAATAGGAACTTCAAGATCTTGATGAGGAATTTAGGGAGAACCATATTGAGATCCTGACCAGATTCTATAAAGCCTTTGAGAGTGTCCACAAGTACATCACTGATCTAAACAGGTATACATCTGTAAGTTGTCGTGAGATAAGACACAACACTACTGTACATCCCTTGGAATGAGATGCTACTCATTCTTGCTGATCACAGCTCACCTTGTAGCATGGCCGTCATTAAGTTTTGAGTCACCTGTGGCCTTGTTCTTCACACCTGTAACAAACTTGTTACATTCTGGGTGAATGGTACTAACAAAAGAAAAGTTCACCCATAGCATTAAGGACCAATCGAGCATACTCAGCTGTAACAGGTGTTACAGGTTACAGCCCTCAATGACAGCTCCCTGATGTAGTACTTTGCTAAGGTTGCCTCAGTCATCCACTAGTTACCAATTTATATATACCAGGATGAAAGAACTGTACTGACTATGTGCCTGTATTAAGGGGTCAGAATGGCATGAGTACTGACTGGACTTTATTGTGTTGTGAACATTACTGGGCAAGGCATCCCTTATACAAGAGTAGCAATATTTATACCTACATACCGTATGTACATTGACAGCCTCATTAGCATGCAAAGAAAGTTATGTCCTGTAGCCTAGGACTAGTGAATTTTGCAGTCAGGCTAGTGTTCAGATTGATCCGATTGTATCCTTTGCTTGCCTTTTGGGCAAGTGAAGTTTAGTGCCTGGACATTTTTGGGGAAATTAAAACTGAAGTACTGTGAGAGGTGAAATTATTGGTAGTATTATTGGTTTAAATTTAAATAATTAATTTTTAGTTAATCTTATTATGGATGAATGTTTTTGTGGGCCAGTGGAAATGACTTTTGAACTCGCACATCATACACTGTAGAACTTTAGAGTTTGCACAAAGGGCAAATTTTCTTCAGACCTTGCTTCATCCTATAGAACTGGAGCAAGTATAGCCTCTGATGATGTGGACCAAGTGTTGCAATTACACTGTTTATAATACGTGTCACTACATGTAATTGCTATCAATGTTTCTTTTAATGATGTCTTATTATTAGATACCTGGAAGATCTTGATGAAGGAGTTTTCATTCAGCAAACACTAGAGAGTGTACTGCTCAATGAAGACGGAAAACAGCTTATGGTAAAGTTCATTTCCACCAGTGATCATTGTGCTTTATTATGATGTACTTAAACATATCTGGAGAATTCAGTCTCAAATCTTAACCCATTCTTTACTTCACTATAGAAATCTTACTGTAGTACAATTTGAATTAAATCAGACACAGAAGTGCCTCACGATACTGTACATGTAGCTTTTGATGTGCCAATTTGTTCAACATTGCTGGAAGTGACAGTTGCACATAGTTTTATTTTTATTTTTATTTCAAAACTAGTTTGCTTTGACTAGTCCTGAAAGTATACATGAAAGGCCTGAGCACTGCTTCATATATACATGTATAAGTGTACCATGGATATTTATTAGAATAAGAATTTAAATATTTAGACTTTACAATCATTATACATGGATATACTAACAGTAATTATGCTTCTTGGAAAATTATATCATGCTAAGAAAATAATGGTTAAATTGAAAGGACAATGTATGTACATTGTTCAAGATTTTGACTGCAAAATGTTTTTTCTAGTCTTGTTTGTTATTAGCATTGCTATTTTTACCTTCTTCCACACAGTGTGAAAGTTTGTACCTGTACGGGGTTATGCTTCTTGTCATTGATATGAAGTTTGAAGGGGATGTGCGTGAGAGAATGTTGGTGTCATATCACAGATACTGGTAAGGCCAGTTACATTTTCAGCAGCCTGCTGTAAATTACAATCAAGCCTGAAAGCAGGTCTTGTTTTACGCTGCAATAGTCATACACTTATTGAATCATTATAGTGTAATGTTAAAGGACCCTAGTCAGTCTCCGCCATTTTCGATGTCATTGAAATTATTGATATTGCATAGTGAAGCAAACTCCCATTGCTTTATTGTAAGTTGTGTTCTGAAAGTATATAATACTATAATTATGTTTAATCATCTTTAGTAGTTTCACAGTACTTTCCTTCATTTCAACATGCTCCGAATAAAATATAATGGCCAAACCCTCGGATGTAAACAAAAACAAAGGTGTGTCTGATTAGGGCCCTTTAATCACATGCCAAGGTTCGATTGGGTGAGAGGTTCCACCATTAACCACCTTTCTAGAACATAAAGACAGCTATTGCAGTTGTTAAATTATATAGTCATGCTGGCAATTGTGGAGTCTATAAAATATACATGTACAATGTATGAAAACATAAGATTGTGCTTTGTCCACTACATTCTGCTTCAGTACATATTAGGTCCAAGATTTTCTGTTCACTCAGAAAGAAACCAGCTTGCTGTTATGCTGCCGATGGCTATCGGAACTCCAACAACAACCCAGTGTTTTAAATTTGTTTTGAACTATTTTTGGCTAATCAGAGTACGTGTACATGGCTGTTGCTTGCATTCAAATAATAAGATTCTGTTTGTGTTCTGTTGTAATGTGAATCTACAAATTGCTTCTAGTAAATCTTCCATGGCTTGATTTTCCCATTTCAGTGCAGCCAGGGCTGATGTTGACTCCAATATCGATGATGTGTGCAAGCTTCTTAGAAGCACTGGATTTTCCTTGGCTCCAGGATCAAAAAGACCTCTCAAGTACCCAGAGGATTATTTTCAGTGAGTAGTCTTGTATTTTTGCACTTTCACCATGTATGTCTGTAGCCATTTGATATTTATTGTCTCCTGTCCTTCTGTCAGAAGTCAAAGTAAAAACAATGATGCTGTTTGCTTTCTTCATGTACTTTGCATGGTTTAAAATCTTCGTTTCTTTTTTTTATTTTTTTTGTTTTTGGTTTTAAATCTTTCAAACTAGTTTCAACTGATTTTTCATTTCCTCAGTCTCATCTTCATGATCATGATCTGCAACAGAGGAATATTAAAGGTTCCATGATAGTACTCTCAGTTGTCAAACTTCTGAATCGGTGATACTCAACACAGTTACAGTTCTGAATGACAGCTGTAGTGGTCTCCATTTTTTAACTCAGTCTGTCTGTATTTTTTTCTTGCAAGACGTATCTCAGTACCTGATTCATTTGTGGATATGCTAATTGGTCGTCTTCGGTCTGACGATGTCTACAATCAGGTGTGACCCCAAATGTGGTGTTGATTCTTTTTTTTTTTTCCTTTTTTTGTGTGTGTGTTTGCATTAATTCATTTGACAAAGTGCTTTTTCAAAGTTGATTTTTATTATGAATCTTTATTTTTGGTTCTCTTTGTGCACATCAGATTTCAGCGTATCCTTTACCAGAACACCGTAGCACAGCTCTTGCAACCCAGGCCTCCATGTTGTATGTCATCTTGTTTTTTGCTCCAGACATTCTACAGAACCAGCAGGCTAAAATGAGAGAGATTGTAGACAAACATTTCCCCGATAACTGGGTAAGACAGCTGATTACAGCAGATTCCCCCCTTTTCTCAACTAAATGCTCTACCTTGAACCTGAGGTTTGGCAGGTCAGTGCTGTGGACAGTTAAATTTAAATGTTCAGGACTTTCTTATGTACGTATGTGTGCTATACTTTTGTAAGCTGTCATTCAGAAAACCAAGTACCATTTTACTTCACTGTGTACAAGATCAGCTACTAGAATTATTAAATTGCAATTATTAATAAAATCTTTGAACTGTTTGCATGGTTATCTGATAAATATAATACATGGAGTGTGACTCACATCAGTCAGAAACTTGAGAATTTTCAGGTTAATCAAAAACAGCAGCTTATGTTAACATTGCGTATACAATTTTGAATCTAGTGACTGAATTAACTTTTAAGTAATTTGGAGCGTTATTTTTTTTTATAAGTATTTCCTTCCAAGAATTAGCACTAGAAAAGAAACAAAACCACATGAGTTAATTGTAAAGAAAACTCTTTGCCCTTGGTGGGATTCGAAACCAAGACCCGTGGATTAAATCACCATTGCTCTACCAACTGAGGTCCTCATTTGGTCCTCCGTTTCTTTTTTGGGGGCTACCACTCAGAGGGAAATACTTGCAGTTTAAATGGGTTCATTCTTTGCTTTCCAGCTTACATGTACGTGTACCGGTACATGTATATTAACATTGCTTGGGCATACATAGTGTTGTTGTGTAGCAAAATCAATATCTGGGCCATCTCAGAATGGAAAGTGAAATTACTCAGTTGTGTCTGAACTTTGCATTATTAATTGTCAAAGTTCAAACTGAGCATATTTTTAATGTCCTTTGGCAGGTGATCAGTGTTTACATGGGAAATGTTGTGAATCTGGTGGAAGCTTGGGATCCCTACAGAGCTGCTAAGACAGCTCTTAACAATACTCTAGATCCTACTAATGTCAAAACTTTGGTGAGAAGATCTTAATTTTACTTNTGGAGAAGATTAACACGGATTACAAATGACGAACTTGAAACATTTAGGCTAAGCTTTTCAAGATAGGCTAGCCATGATGTAGCTCCTTTAAGTTGTATTCAAATCACAGATCTGTGCACAAAAGCTGCTGGGTATATATTTTGAACCTCAGCATCATACATGTGCATAATCTTATTTGCTTTTCTGGTAACTGCAAGGGAAAGTCAACTAGGACCCATCTAAAGTGCATTGTTTGCATTCCTTGTATTCAATGCACACTAGAACTATGAATTTTAGTTGTTAAGTGTAATAAATGAAGTTCTGTAATTTTGTTTGTACTGAACATGAAACACAGGTACATACGTCTATGCATTGTGTTCGCTGTTTAATTTAGATGTTCAAGCAGATGTTGGCACAGAAGCAGTCCCAGTGGGAGAAACACAAAACAGAAGGAGTTGAAAGGATGGATGAGCTATCTGAAGTGTTTTCTGGGACCAAACCACTCACACGAATTCAAAAGAATGGTACTACTGTATAAGCCGGGTTACTTATTTATTACAAACTCACTGCATACAAATTTGATTTGTTAACCAATGAATGCTCTGGTAGATCTGAAGTCAGTAACATTTAGTTCTTATATCTTCCAGAAAACCTGCAGGCATGGTTCAAGGAGATGTCCAATCAGATTTCCTCATTAAGCTATGACGATTCTACCTCCGCTGGACGGAAAATGGTGCAGCTTATTCAAGCATTAGAAGAGGTCTCTATCTACTTTTACATTGTGTTTACATGGACATGTGTTTAACGTTGTTACCGTTGTTACCAGTTATTGCAGCTTTGCTTTAACTCAAACTTATAGAGCAGTTGAATCCAATTGAGTGTCGTAAAACCAAAACCAAATGAATCACTCTAGATAGCCAACCACAAAAGACACACTCAGGCAATTAATTACGGTAAGCAATCATAATTTCAGGTACCTGTAATAACATTTAGCTGACGCAAAGAGCTGGAAACGTGTGCAAACGAGTCACAATTGGTTTGCGAAGAAATTGGAAGAAAAAGTGGCGCAAGTTTTTAAACCAATTGTGTGGCGTAGTAAGTGCAAAGTCAATTACATTTCCATTCTCAAGTGAAAACCGCTCTTCAACCCAACTGCAATCTAGAACAGGAGCATTTGAAATATTCTCCCTTAAAATTGATCAGAGAGTTGCAAAGTCCAGAAGAGATTGCTCTAATTAGTTCATGATCTTCGTTTCATTAGGTTCAAGAATTTCATCAATTAGAAAGCAACCTGCAAGTGAGACAGTTTCTGCTGGAGACAAGACAGTTTCTGCATCAGATGATAAGGACAATTAACATCAAAGAAGAGGTACTTCTGTGTGTACTATTTACATCAGTCTGTGGTTATGAGAGCAGTTATCACCATGAGTTAGGCAACAGATTGTTATAATTGTACAATTTTAGCTTCTAATAACTCTTACATTGATGTGTTTCAAGGTTTTGATCACCATTCAGTTGGTAGCGGACTTATCATATGCCTGGAACATCATTGATAGGTAAGATTTGCGAACCAACTCAATGTGCGGCAAACCCTTATGTACATACTGTACATACTCACATTGTGTAAAGATATAAAGATATAAAGACAGAAGGTAAATGTAACTCGAGTTTCACACACTAGCGATAATCAGACTCGTTGTTTGTGCAAAAAGCATCTAGTCTGATGATTGCTTAGTGCATGAAACTTGAGTTACATTTACCTTCTGTCTTCATATCTTTACATTTTGCTCTGTATACTTTTTGTATAGAGCACTCTTAGGATAAGTGAAAAAGTTCATTCACTGTTTATCCATTTACTTACATTTTATACACCATATTCTTTTAGGTCGGCATGTGGCAACCCAAGGGCTGTTGTGAACCTGCCATAAAATTCCTATCAAAACACTAAATTATTTAAAATTTACACTCTTAAAACGATAAAAACAGGGATCTTCAAATATCATATTGTCACTGGTTCAGGGCATCAGAATTTTCTGATGGCTGACCCCACATGATGGCCTTCACAGCTTCATTCCTTTCAAGGCAGACTCACTCTTCCCTTCATACCTTGGTACTGTGCTGCTTATTTATTCTTTGCCCTTATTTTGTAGCTATTCTGGATTTATGCAGCAAGGAATAAAGAGTAACCCTTCACTGGTTCAGAAACTAAGAGCAACATTCCTCAAGGTAAAAAAATGTAAAATCATGGTATTGTAGTCCAGTATCTACCACCCACTGCACTCAATTTTTTGCATTAATTTTGATTTTTGATTAGCCTGCAGTACAGGGGTTTTCTGTGTGTTCATGAGTTATCGGTATTTTGCTTGCGATCAAGTAGATTCGCCACCATGTTGGCTTAGGAAAAGTTTCCAGGGAGGGGGTGATGGGGCAAGGGGCGGAAGGAAGGAAAAAACTTCCCCTCCCCCTTACTCGTCTTTCAGCATCACTCCTGCTCCTTAGGATGCCTTTTCATCTCCTCCCCCCCACCCCCCTCTTCCGAGTTTGAATTTCAGGCGGTCTCCAGATCTCTCACAGTAAAAAAAAAAAAAAA